TGTAATATAAAATATATAATTATAATTTCGTATTATTAGTAGTAGTATTATATTGTATTACATTATAATACAATGTATATGTGTTGTGTGTGTGCATATTTGTGTATATGTGTATATATGTGGTTTTGTGCATGTGTTGTAATGTTTTTTTGGCTTTTTAGGTCTCTTTTGCTGTGTTTTTCAGTGTTTTTATGAGTGATGGTCACTTGTTGGCCTGAGAGGTGCCTTGTGTCCAAATTTGGTGTCTATTCGTCCAGTGGTTTTTGAGTTATGCTAATCCCACAAACGGACATGACATTTCTATTTATATAGATGATTATTATTATTTTCTGCCTGGCAGGGGTCAAGCTCATGAAGACCAAGACGCAGGCCTCCAAGACGGGCAAGTGCCAGCAGAACCGTGCCCGGTGGGGCCTGGCGTACACCCTCCTCCACAACCCTTCCCTTCTGCCCCACCGGAAAGGGGCGCTCTCCAATGCCACGGCCAACGGGATGAAAGCCAACCTTGCCAAGCCTTGACGGCTGATAGGAAACCATGGACTTGGCCACTGGGAAGACGGACCGTGCCTTTCCTTGTGTTCCCATCCTTGTGTCCCTCTTTCCCGTTGGCAGCTGGCTCTTCTGCACGCCTTCTTGTCCTACCACGAGAGCGTGGCCAACAAAACTGGAGACAAGAGCATCAGAAGGATTGCAGAGCCAAAGGCAGGAAGCAATAGCTGGCCATAGTTCTCTTCTTCCTTCCCTACAGGTTCTTCACCAACGAGTGCCTCTCTTTCTCTCTTTTTTGACTGTCGTGTAGATGACTTTCTTGGCCGTGGAGGCCGGTAGAATTGTTCAGTTGCTAGTCTTCTTGGAGATATGTCTCTTCAATCAGGATGGTTTGGCATTATGAATCGAGAAGGAAACGATCATGACAAGACTGTTGGTTGCAACCACACCACAGAATCTAATATTGGAAACAGAAGTGTGGACAATGGGTTTCCTTTTGGTGGTCAAGAGGCAGATAATGTAGGAGCAAATGACGCAAAGAGAGTCTGAATCGACTGTTTTACTTTTTTTGAACTCCAACTCAGCTACGTTTAGCAAGGTAGGCGCCATTTTTCGAAAATGCCTGAAAGAATGAATCCTATTAAACATGGTGAGCAGGACATTTCAACATGGAAGGTGGGAGAGATATGTCAATCGGCTTCAATCACGATGTTTGACTCATTCCTCACGGGGAAGGCTAAAAGCAATCTTTCCCTTGAGCTTGGAAATGTTCCTTTGTGATGTTACAATTCCCAGTTTCCCCATGATTAGCAACCATGAGGGTGGAGGATTCTGGGAGCTGTAGTCCACTTCTTTTCCGAGCTTCCTCGCTTGATGATCTCAAGGAGGGTTGCCCGTGGTTCCTTCCTAGGCCACCTGCACTCCTCCACTTTGACTTCCTTTCTCAACAATTCCTTGATAGTAGGAGCTGGGAAAGTCCGCTCCGGAAACAGCCAGATGAACGCAATTGTAGAATGCAGAGAGTTGATCTCTTCTGGTGAAAATAATAATAAATGAAATTGTGACCAACTCGCCAAGCTTTGGTTTTTGTCCCATTGGCGATATCTTCAGCCTTCAGGATGTGAGAGTTGGGATTGGAAATCCAGGGGCTGTGAGTCCATGCCAGGGTTTCATCCAGACTTGGAAAGAATTGTCCAAGGTGCTGATTAACTCCTGCCAAACAGGTTCAGCACCTTGGACAGCTCCTTCCTGGCAACCAGCATTGGATTTCTCATTCAGGTGACACAATCATAGAATCCTAGAATCCAAGAGTTGGAAGAGACCACCTGGGCCATCCAGTCCAACCCCATTCTGCCAAAAAGCAGGAATATTGCATTCAAATCACCCCTGTCAGATGGCCATCCACCCTCTGTTTAAAAGCTTCCAAAGAAGGAGCCTCCACCGCACTCCGGGGCAGAGAGTTCCACTGCTGAACAGCTCTCACAGTCAGGAAGTTATAGAATCCTAGAATTCAAGAGTTGGAAGAGACCTCGTGGGCCATCATCCAGTCCATCCCCATTCTGCCAAGAAGCAGGAATATTGCATTCAAGGCACCCCTGACAGATGGCCATCCAGCCTCTGCTTAAAAGCCTCCAAAGAAGGAGCCTCCACCACATTCCCGGGCAGAGAGTTCCACTGCTGAATGGCTCTCACAATCAGGAAGTTCTTCCTCGTGTTCAGATGGAATCTCCTCTCTTGTAGTTTGAAGCCATTGCTCCATTGCGTCCTAGTCTCCAAGGAAGCAGAAAACAAGCTTGCTCCCTCCTCCTCCCTGTGGCTTCCTCTCACATATTTATACATGGCTATCATATCTCCTCTCAGCCTTCTCTTCTTCAGGCTAAACATGCCCAGTTCCCTAAGCCGCTCCTCATAGGGCTTGTTCTCCAGACCTTTGATCATTTTAGTCGCCCTCCTCTGGACACATTCCAGCTTGTCAATATCTCTCTTGAATTGTGGTGCCCAGAATTGGACACAATATTCCAGGTGTGGTCTAACCAAAGCAGAATAGAGGGGGAGCATGACTTCCCTAGATCTAGACACTATGCTCCTCTTGATGCAGGCCAAAATCCCATTGGCTTTTTTTTGCCGCCACATCACATTGTTGGCTCATGTTTAACTTGTTGTCCACGAGGACTCCAAGATCTTTTTCACACGTACTGCTCTCGAGCCAGGCATCGTCCCCCATTCTGTCTCTTTGCATTTCGTTTTTCCTGCCAAAGTGGAGTATCTTGCATTTGTCACTGTTGAACTTCATTTTGTTAGTTTTGGCCCATCATCATCTCTCTAAACTGTTGAGATCCCTTTGAATCCTGCTCCTGTCCTCTGGAGTCTTGGCTCTCCCTCCCCATTTGGTGTCGTCTGCAAACGTGATGATCCTGCCTTCTAGCCCTTCATCTCAGTTATGAATGAAGATCTAGATCAGGACCGGGCCCAGGAAGGAACCCTGCGGATGGCACTCCACTCGTCACTTCTTTCCAGGATGAAGAGGAAGCATTGGGGAGCACCCTCTGGGTTCGTCCATTTAACCAATTACAGATCCACCTCACCGTAGTTTTGCCTAGCCCACATTGGACTAGTTTCCTTGCCAGAAGGTCATGGGGGACCTTGTCAAAGAAGGCCTTCCTGAAATCCAGACACGCTCCATCCACGGCATCATTCCCCGCATCTACCCAGCTTGTAACTCTCTCGAAAAAAGAGATCAGATGAGTCTGGCATGACTTGTTTTGGATAAATGTGCCAGCAAATATAGATTTGGTTAGAAAAACATGTCCCTTTCATTTACTTCAGTGTTTTTCAACCTTCCTAATGCCGTGACCCCTTCATACAGTCCTTCATGTTGTGGTGACCCCCAACCATCACATTATTTTCATTGCTACTTCATCACTGTCATTTTGCTCCTGTTATGAAGGTAAAAGGTAAAGGTTGTCCCCTGACATTAAGTCCGGTCATGTCTGACTCTGGGGATTGGTGCTCATCTCCATTTCTAAGCCGAAGGGCCAGCGTTGTCCATAGACACCTCCAAGGTCATGTGGCCAGAGCGCCGTTACCTTCCCAAGTTTTCAAACTGCTAGGTTGGCAGAAGCTAGGGCTGAGAGCGGAAGCTCACGCCATTCTCCAGAATCGAACCTGAGACCTTTCCGTCAACAAGCTCAGCGCTTTAACCAACTGTGCCACCGGGCATCCTCAGAGGATGCCTGACATAAATGCAGGCGAAATATCAGGAGACAATGCTTCTACAACATGGCCATATAGCCCGAAAAACCTGCAACAACCCATTAAATGTCTGATATGTGGGATGTATTTTCATTCATTGGACCAAATTTGGCACAAATCCCTGATACACCCAAATTTGAATATTGGTGGGGTTGGGAGGGGGGGGATTGATTTTGTCATTTGGGAGCTGTAGTTGCTGGGATTTATAGTTCACCTACAATCAAAGAGCATTCTGACCTCCACCAATAATAGAATTGGGCCAAACTTGGCACATGGAACTCCCATGACCAACAGAAAATACTGGAAGGGTTTGGTGGGCATTGACCTTGAGTTTGGGAGTTCTAGTTCACCTACATCCAGAGAGCACTGTGGACTCAAACAATGATGGATCTGGACCAAACTGGTGGGTCTGTAGATATGCCCAAATGTGAATACTGATGGAGAAGCCATTGAAATCCACAAGAAGCAGGTGGACAATTTCAACAGAAAAGAGGAAACCATGAAAATGAACAACATCTGGCTCCCAGTATTAAAAAACTCTAAAATTACAACAGTACAACAACAGAGAGGAAACAAACAAGGACATCTAATCACCTCTCAACAAAAGATTGCTCCAAGCAGTGTCAGGCCATTATATGCTAATCAAGGCGGTCAGTTGAGACATTCACACCTGGCTCCAGCAGACAAGAGTCCTTTGTCCCACCCTGGTCATCATTCCACAGATACGTAAACTCTTTTTCCTAGTTCCAACAGACCTCACTGCCTCTGAGGATGCTTGCCATAGATGCAGGCGAAACGTTAGGAGAGAATGCCTCTAGAACATGGCCATATAGCCCAAAAAAACCTACAACAACCCAACTCTCACATTCCTCTTTTAATGGCCTCCCATCCAGATATGTACGTTTGCCTTAGACTGTGGATACATCTACATAGTGATTAATTAATTTGGTTTGACATTACTTTAAGTGCCTCGGCTCTAAGCTCTAGAATCCTGGGAGTTGCAGTTTTACAAGGTCTTTCATCTTCTCTGCTAAAGAGAGGTTTCTCACCAAACTACAACTCCAAGCATTGCATTGAATCATGGCAGTTAAACAACAACAAACAACAAAGTTAAAGTGGTATCAAACTGCATTTATTCTGAAGAGCCAGCCTGACATATGTTCCCTGTAATGTGCATTAAACATATTGAATACAATGTGGTATTGTGCATATTGAGTCAGACGTAAGGCCAGGGCTGGTGTTCTTACTAATTTCGGGTCTGCACCCCATGCGCTGCCAGTAAGTTTCCGCAGGATGTTATTGCGTGCAGCTACTTTGTGCTTGGTGTTCAAGCAGTGTTTCCTATATGGTCGTGTTCAATGTAAGGTGACACTGAGACATTTAGGATGGAATCAATGTTCAAGCTCTTGACCTTCCCAATTTCCTGTTGGCTTCATGGTTGCGTAGGTAGAAAGCACACACTTGTGTCTTGGCAGGGTTAGGCTTCAGGTGATTATCTTTGGCGTAGATGGAGAGATAAGCGAGACTCTACTGAACTCTTAACTGCTTTGCAATGCTGGGAGTTGTAGTTTGGTGAGACATTAGCACTCCTTGGCAGAGAAAGTTTAAGACCACAACTCCCAGGGTTCCAAAGCAGTTAAAGTGATGTTAAACTGTGTTAATTCTACCGTGTAGATCAGGCGTGGGCCAACTTGGGCCTTCCAGGTGTTTTGGACTTCAACTCCCACAATTCCTAACAGCCATTTTAGGAATTGTGGGAGTTGAAGTCCAAACACCTGGAGGTGAATGTGAAACATTGATAGTTTATTCAGGAAAGTTAACCAAGTAAATGACACTGACTGTAAGCCTCAAGATTGCAACAAAACACAAATGTAACCACAAGTGTTGGAGCCAGAAGTTATAAATAAACTGTGTTACTTTGTTATACACAAGAATGTTTCATTGCCTGTGATATAAAGTACAAAGGTTTAACAGCACAGAAAGTCCCAGCCAATATAAAAGAAGAAACTGAATCAGTATAAGGCAGCAAAGAGGTCTTTAATGAGGAAATAGTCTCTCTCCCTCCCCTCAATAATACTTGGTTAACTTAGAGTGCATCTACACCAGGCGTGGGCCAACTTGGACATTCTACTGTATACTAAATACGGAATACTTATAGTTACAAAAAGGAAAGCAAGGCAACTAGAAAGGAGCTGGCCCACAGCCATGGATCCCACACAGTCCCTCTGTTGCTGCTGGCCTTTGGTGCTCTTGGGTTCAGGTAGATGAACACCACCTTTCCTTCAGGCCTGGGGTGTTCTTTGTCGCAAGAGTTGGCTTTGGGTTTGCTCGCTTGGATGTCATTCTGGAGCCGATCGTCCGGACTCTCGGAGCTAGCCAAGGCGACATTGACGGACACCTCTCGAGACCCGACGTCATTCAATGCCTGGCAAGTATAGAGGCCTTCATCCGCCTTGTTGAAGTTGGTGATGACCATGGAGCCGTTCTTGAAGACCAGGAAGCGTCCACCTTTCTTCTGCGGAGAGGTCACACCAGCAAGCGCGTTGTCTCCTCCTTCTTCTGCATTGGGTCCGTTGATGGCTACAGTTTGAGCAGAGGTCTGGATGGTCCACCGGATCTCCGGTGTCGGCTTGCCCATAGTGCTGCAGTGCAAGAAGAGGGTGAGTCCATCATGCAACACACTGTTGCCTAAGCTGGAATGGTAAACCAGTTGGACCGAAGGCAGCATGCAGTCCATTTTCAAGTTCCTCCCAAGAACGAGACCTTTCAGATGTTCAGGAGCACCACAAGTGATGGACTCCTTCTCCGAGACGGAAACAGAAGTGTTCTCCAACCATTTCTTCAACCACCAGCTTCTACAGGAACAGTTCAATGGGTTGTGGTGGATCTGCAACTGGGACAACCAAGGCATGGGGTCAAAAGTGCCCTCAAAGAGGACCACGAGATGGTTGTTGTCAAGCCAAAGGGACCGCAAGTCCTTCAAGGTCTGGAAGGCGTTCCAAGGGACCTTCTCCAAGCGGTTGCTGCTCAGCTTGAGTTGCTGCAAAGCGGTGAGGTTGGACAGGTCTCCCCAAGGGAAGTCCACGATCTGGTTGTGCCTGAGGTCGATGGCCCGCAGATGCATCAAGGAGGCAAAGGTGCCCCTGGAAATCCCACCGATCTCGTTGTAGGACAGCCAAAGAGCCTGCAAGTTGGGCACGTCCGCAAAGGCGTCTTCCCCCAAGGAGGGAATGCGGTTGACGGACAAGGTGAGGGTGGTCGCGTTGGAGGGCAGGCCCAGGGGGACGGCCTCCAGGTCCTTGTAAGAACAGTCGGCAATGTGGCGGCCGTACTTCTTCAGAGCCATGCACCGGCAAACCTCTGGGCAACTCTGGGCGCCCACAACGAGCAGCGTGGTTAAGAAGCAGAGCAGCTGGTCCATGGCTTCCTCAGGCCTTTTCCTGCTGAGCTGAGAGAGAGAGAGAGAGAGAGGTGAACAAGCAGGGCCTTCTTGGTGTTTGGGCCCCATCGGCACCAGGCACGGGCAAACTGTCTAACTTGGGGGCCACGTGCTAGCACTCCCTCCCAAGAGGACTGGCTGCCCAGTAATGGAAGGAAGGAAGGAAGGAAGGAAGGAAGGAAGGAAGGAAGGAAGGAGAGAAGGAGGAGAGAATGAGGGGAGGATGAACAGGAGGAAGGAAAAGATGGAAGAAGAAGAAAGGGAGGGATGGAGGGGGGTAATAAGGAAGGGAAGAGAGAAGGAAAGAGAAAAGAGAAGGAAGGAAGGAAGGAAGAAGGACAGATGGCATGGAAGCAAGGAAGGAAAGGAGGGAGGGAGGAAAACGAGAAGGGAGGGAGGGAATGGAGGGAGGAGAGAAGGAAGGAAGGAAAGATATAAGGGAAGGAAGGAAGGAGTGAAGGAGGGGAGGATGAATGGGAGGAAGGAAAAGATGGACGAAGAAAAAAGGGAGGGATGCAGGGGGGTAATAAGGAAGGGAAGAGAGAAGGAAAGAGAAAAGAGAAGGAAGGAAGGAAGAAGGACAGATGACATGGAAGCAAGGAAGGAAAGGAGGGAGGGAGGCAAAAGAGAAGGGAGGGAGGGAATGGAGGGAGGAGAGAAGGAAGGAAGGAAAGATATAAGGGAAGGAAGGAAGGAGTGAAGGAGGGGAGGATGAACAGGAGGAAGGAAAAGATGGAAGAAGAAGAAAGGGAGGGATGGAGGGGGGTAATAAGGAAGGGAAGAGAGAAGGAAAGAGAAAAGAGAAGGAAGGAAGGAAGGAAGAAGGACAGATGACATGGAAGCAAGGAAGGAAAGGAGGGAGGGAGGAAAAAGAGAAGGGAGGGAGGGAATGGAGGGAGGAGAGAAGGAAGGAAGGAAAGATATAAGGGAAGGAAGGAAGGAGTGAAGGAGGGGAGGATGAATGGGAGGAAGGAAAAGATGGATGAAGAAAAAAGGGAGGGATGCAGGGGGGTAATAAGGAAGGGAAGAGAGAAGGAAAGAGAAAAGAGAAGGAAGGAAGGAAGGAAGAAGGACAGATGGCATGGAAGCAAGGAAGGAAAGGAGGGAGGGAGGAAAAAGAGAAGGGAGGGAGGGAATGGAGGGAGGAGAGAAGGAAGGAAGGAAAGATATAAGGGAAGGAAGGAAGGAGTGAAGGAGGGGAGGATGAATGGGAGGAAGGAAAAGATGGACGAAGAAAAAAGGGAGGGATGCAGGGGGGTAATAAGGAAGGGAAGAGAGAAGGAAAGAGAAAAGAGAAGGAAGGAAGGAAGGAAGAAGGACAGATGGCATGGAAGCAAGGAAGGAAAGGAGGGAGGGAGGAAAACGAGAAGGGAGGGAGGGAATGGAGGGAGGAGAGAAGGAAGGAAGGAAAGATATAAGGGAAGGAAGGAAGGAGTGAAGGAGGGGAGGATGAATGGGAGGAAGGAAAAGATGGACGAAGAAAAAAGGGAGGGATGCAGGGGGGTAATAAGGAAGGGAAGAGAGAAGGAAAGAGAAAAGAGAAGGAAGGAAGGAAGAAGGACAGATGACATGGAAGCAAGGAAGGAAAGGAGGGAGGGAGGAAAAAGAGAAGGGAGGGAGGGAATGGAGGGAGGAGAGAAGGAAGGAAGGAAAGATATAAGGGAAGGAAGGAAGGAGTGAAGGAGGGGAGGATGAATGGGAGGAAGGAAAAGATGGACGAAGAAAAAAGGGAGGGATGCAGGGGGGTAATAAGGAAGGGAAGAGAGAAGGAAAGAGAAAAGAGAAGGAAGGAAGGAAGAAGGACAGATGACATGGAAGCAAGGAAGGAAAGGAGGGAGGGAGGCAAAAGAGAAGGGAGGGAGGGAATGGAGGGAGGAGAGAAGGAAGGAAGGAAAGATATAAGGGAAGGAAGGAAGGAGTGAAGGAGGGGAGGATGAATGGGAGGAAGGAAAAGATGGACGAAGAAAAAAGGGAGGGATGCAGGGGGGTAATAAGGAAGGGAAGAGAGAAGGAAAGAGAAAAGAGAAGGAAGGAAGGAAGGAAGAAGGACAGATGGCATGGAAGCAAGGAAGGAAAGGAGGGAGGGAGGAAAAAGAGAAGGGAGGGAGGGAATGGAGGGAGGAGAGAAGGAAGGAAGGAAAGATATAAGGGAAGGAAGGAAGGAGTGAAGGAGGGGAGGATGAATGGGAGGAAGGAAAAGATGGATGAAGAAAAAAGGGAGGGATGCAGGGGGGTAATAAGGAAGGGAAGAGAGAAGGAAAGAGAAAAGAGAAGGAAGGAAGGAAGGAAGAAGGACAGATGACATGGAAGCAAGGAAGGAAAGGAGGGAGGGAGGAAAAAGAGAAGGGAGGGAGGGAATGGAGGGAGGAGAGAAGGAAGGAAGGAAAGATATAAGGGAAGGAAGGAAGGAGTGAAGGAGGGGAGGATGAATGGGAGGAAGGAAAAGATGGATGAAGAAAAAAGGGAGGGATGCAGGGGGGTAATAAGGAAGGGAAGAGAGAAGGAAAGAGAAAAGAGAAGGAAGGAAGGAAGGAAGGAAGAAGGACAGATGACATGGAAGCAAGGAAGGAAAGGAGGGAGGGAGGAAAAAGAGAAGGGAGGGAGGGAATGGAGGGAGGAGAGAAGGAAGGAAGGAAAGATATAAGGGAAGGAAGGAAGGAGTGAAGGAGGGGAGGATGAATGGGAGGAAGGAAAAGATGGACGAAGAAAAAAGGGAGGGATGCAGGGGGGTAATAAGGAAGGGAAGAGAGAAGGAAAGAGAAAAGAGAAGGAAGGAAGGAAGGAAGAAGGACAGATGACATGGAAGCAAGGAAGGAAAGGAGGGAGGGAGGAAAAAGAGAAGGGAGGGAGGGAATGGAGGGAGGAGAGAAGGAAGGAAGGAAAGATATAAGGGAAGGAAGGAAGGAGTGAAGGAGGGGAGGATGAATGGGAGGAAGGAAAAGATGGATGAAGAAAAAAGGGAGGGATGCAGGGGGGTAATAAGGAAGGGAAGAGAGAAGGAAAGAGAAAAGAGAAGGAAGGAAGGAAGAAGGACAGATGACATGGAAGCAAGGAAGGAAAGGAGGGAGGGAGGCAAAAGAGAAGGGAGGGAGGGAATGGAGGGAGGAGAGAAGGAAGGAAGGAAGGGAAGGAAGGAAGGAAGGAGTGAAGGAGGGGAGGATGAATGGGAGGAAGGAAAAGATGGACGAAGAAAAAAGGGAGGGATGCAGGGGGGTAATAAGGAAGGGAAGAGAGAAGGAAAGAGAAAAGAGAAGGAAGGAAGGAAGAAGGACAGATGACATGGAAGCAAGGAAGGAAAGGAGGGAGGGAGGAAAAAGAGAAGGGAGGGAGGGAATGGAGGGAGGAGAGAAGGAAGGAAGGAAAGATATAAGGGAAGGAAGGAAGGAGTGAAGGAGGGGAGGATGAACAGGAGGAAGGAAAAGATGGAAGAAGAAGAAAGGGAGGGATGGAGGGGGGTAATAAGGAAGGGAAGAGAGAAGGAAAGAGAAAAGAGAAGGAAGGAAGGAAGGAAGAAGGACAGATGGCATGGAAGCAAGGAAGGAAAGGAGGGAGGGAGGAAAAAGAGAAGGGAGGGAGGGAATGGAGGGAGGAGAGAAGGAAGGAAGGAAAGATATAAGGGAAGGAAGGAAGGAGTGAAGGAGGGGAGGATGAATGGGAGGAAGGAAAAGATGGACGAAGAAAAAAGGGAGGGATGCAGGGGGGTAATAAGGAAGGGAAGAGAGAAGGAAAGAGAAAAGAGAAGGAAGGAAGGAAGGAAGAAGGACAGATGACATGGAAGCAAGGAAGGAAAGGAGGGAGGGAGGAAAAAGAGAAGGGAGGGAGGGAATGGAGGGAGGAGAGAAGGAAGGAAGGAAAGATATAAGGGAAGGAAGGAAGGAGTGAAGGAGGGGAGGATGAATGGGAGGAAGGAAAAGATGGACGAAGAAAAAAGGGAGGGATGCAGGGGGGTAATAAGGAAGGGAAGAGAGAAGGAAAGAGAAAAGAGAAGGAAGGAAGGAAGGAAGAAGGACAGATGGCATGGAAGCAAGGAAGGAAAGGAGGGAGGGAGGAAAAAGAGAAGGGAGGGAGGGAATGGAGGGAGGAGAGAAGGAAGGAAGGAAAGATATAAGGGAAGGAAGGAAGGAGTGAAGGAGGGGAGGATGAATGGGAGGAAGGAAAAGATGGACGAAGAAAAAAGGGAGGGATGCAGGGGGGTAATAAGGAAGGGAAGAGAGAAGGAAAGAGAAAAGAGAAGGAAGGAAGGAAGAAGGACAGATGACATGGAAGCAAGGAAGGAAAGGAGGGAGGGAGGAAGAAAAGACGGAAGGGAGGGAATGGAGGAAGGGAGGAGAGAAGGAAGAAACGACATAAGGGAAGGAAGGAAGGGTGGAATAGAAGAATGGATGGAAGGGAAGAATAGAAGGAAGAGAGAGAGAGATAAACCCCCTTTGTCTAGTTTCCAACAAATGTCACAACCTTTGAGAATGTATTATTATTATTATTATTATTATTATTATTATTATTATTATTACTATCTTTATTTGCACCCCGCTAGCACCCCGCTAGGACTCGATGCGGCTTACAAAGGCCAAGGCCTCAAAAACACAATAGCATAACAATACAATTCAAAGCGAATCAAAAACATTAAAGCAATGACAGTAAAAACAACAAAACATAGATGTGGATGAAATGTCAGGAGAGAATGCTTCTGGAACATGGTCATATCACCTGGAAAACTCACATCAACCCAGTGATTCCAGCCATGAAAGCCTTCGAAAAGTTGTTGTTGTTGCTGTTATGAAAGCCTTCGATAACGCATTGTTGTTGTTGTTGTTGTTGTTGTTGTTAGGAATGTGGAAGTATGTGGAACTAGGGATACCAAAGCCATGTAGGAGGGATCATATAGTATTGCTGCTTTTGCTCCTGCCCTAACATTTCCTTCTCCCACTCTGGACATTGTTAAACAAAGGCTGAGTGGCCATCTGTCGGGAGTGCTTAGATTGAGCCTCCTTGCATGGCAGAAGGGGGTTAGATTCCATAACACTGAGCCATGGCAATTAAAGCCGTGTTGGACTGCATTAACTCCAATGTGGGAATGGGCCCGAAGACACATTAGATGTTGCATGATTCTCATAATGATGTCAAACCTGAAAAGTATGTTTTCCAGAGCGGCTTCCTAACCGAATGCCCTCCTTCTTAGCTAATGCATACATCTGGCCTTGATCTCAACCCCGTCTCGAGAGCGCTTCTTGCATGCACATCACTGACGAAGTGTCCTCTCCGGCGCATCAGTGATGCTGCTTTGGTTGCGCCTCTCTGGCTGCGCACGGCCTGGCCTTGCCGAGGGAGAGAGTGGCGATGATCACATGCCTCAAACGGGGAGCAAGACCTCCTCCTTCTGCCAGCGCAGCATCCAAGGCCATTTCTGATCTCACGCTCCCCAAGCGCGGTGAAATCATCCTGAGCTTATCCAAACACATGGAGTTTGGGAGCAGGAATGGGCAACTGGGTTGGACCCAGAAGTCCTCTCTACGTTTTGCAAATGAGCTGCAGAGAGAAAGAGGCTTCTTTGCCATAGCTCACCCATGATAGCTCTTCAGGCCGGTCCTCATAGGGCTTGCTCTCCAGACCCTTGAATGCCATGAACCAATCCCTTAGAAGATTTACGGACATAACGAAACTGCCATTATGATTGCATGCGTTGTGCATGGGGATGCACAACACATCTCATTTAAATCTTTCACTTATATATATTTAAAAATATACAATTTATTGACATACTCTGAGGGTTCTTGATGGATTTGCACAATACACATTTGCACAATACACCTAACACACTTCAGCCCATGAGGTCTCTTCCAACTCTATGATTCTATGAACATGAGGAAGAACTTCCTGACTGTGAGAGCCGTTCAGCAGTGGAACTCTCTGCCCCGGAGTGTGGTGGAGGCTCCTTCTTTGGAAGCTTTGAAACAGAGGCTGGATGGCCATCTGTCAGGGGTGCTTTGAATGCAATATTCCTGCTCCTTGGCAGAATGGGGTTGGACTGGATGATGGCCCAGGAGGTCTCTTCCCACTCTAGGATTCTAGGATTCTATAACTTCCTGACTGTGAGAGCCGTTCAGCAGTGGAACTCTCTGCCCGGAGTGTGGTGGAGGCTCCTTCTTTGGAAGCTTTGAAACAGAGGCTGGATGGCCATCTGTCAGGGGTGCTTTGAATGCAATATTCCTGCTCCTTGGCAGAATGGGGTTGGACTGGATGATGGCCCAGGAGGTCTCTTCCAACTCTAGGATTCTGTGATTCTATAGCCATGAAACACGGTGGCCAGCCTTGTTAACAGGACTGGTTTTGTGTTGTGAGTTTTTCAGGTTCCAGTAACATTCTCTCCTGACATTTCACCCACATCTGTGGTAAGCATCCTCAGAGGTTTGTTTGGAGGTCTGTTGGAAGTGAGGCAAGTGGAATGTGTGTGTGTGTTTTATACATATATATATAGATATATATATATAGGTAAAGGTTTTCCTCTTGACGTTAAGCCTAGTTGTGTCCGACTCTGGGAGTTGGTGCTCATCTCCGTTCCTAAGCCGAAAAGCCGACGTTGTCCGTAGACACCTCCAAGCTCATGTGGCCAGCATGACTGCATGGAGAGCCATTACCTTCCCATCGGAGCAGTACCTATTGATCTACTCACACTTGCATGTTTTCAAACTGCTAGGTTGACAGAAGCTGGGGCTAACAGCGGGAGTAGTCCTGCACTTGCAAAGTCAATCAGTGAGGTTATTTGCATAGAGGTAGCATGGCTGTTGTGCCTGGAGGCATCCTTTGTTTAGAACACTGATTCCCACCCTGGGGGTCGGGACCCCTGGGGGGTCATAAGGGGGTGTCAGAGGGGTCACCAAAGACCATCAGGAAACACAGTATTTTCTGTTGGTCATGGGGGTTTTGTGTGGGAAGATTGGCCCAATTCTATCATTGGTGGAGTTCAGAATGCTCTTTGATTGTAGGTGAACTATACATCACAGCAACGGCAACTCCCAAATGTCATGGTCTATTTCCCCCAAACTCCACCAATGTTCACATTTATTGAGTATCCGTGCCAAGTTTGGTCCAGATCCATCATTGTTTGAGTCCACAGCGCTCTCTGGATGTAGGTGAACTACACTTCTCAAACTCAAGGTCAATACCCACCAAACCCTTCCAGTATTTTCTGTTGGTCATGAGAGTTCCATGTGCCAAGTTTGGCCTAATTCTTTCATTGGTGGGGTTCAGAATGCTCTTGGATTGTAGGTGAACTATAAATCCCAGCAACTACAACTCCCAAATGTCAAGGTCTATTCCCCCCAAACTCCACCAATGTTCACATTTATTGAGTACCTGTGCCAAGTTTGGTCCAGATCCATCATTGTTTGAGTCCACAGCGCTCTCTGGATGTAGGTGAACTACAACTCCAAACTCAAGGTCAATACCTACCAGACCTTTCCATTATTGGTCATGGGAGATCTGTGTGCCAAGTTTGGTCCAATTCTATCGTTGGTGGGGTTCAGAATGCTCTTTGGTTGTAGGTGAACTATAAATCAGAAACGGGGAACTCCAGACAGCAAACAACCAAGTGCCAGTTAACACAAAGAATGCCTCCAGGCAACAACAGCCATCAAATAACCTCACTGATTGACTTTGTAGCTGCAAGGCTACTCAAGCTTGCTAATTGCACCATTCACACTTGCTTCAAACAGACAATGTCCACACTGGACATCCCACAGATATAGGTACACTCTACTTACTTCATTTCCAGCAGACCTCTAAACAAACCCCTGAGGATGCTTGCCACAGATGCAGGTGAAACATCAGGAGGGAATGCTACTGGAACAACTCACAACAACCCAAAACCATCCTGGACATTCCACAGATAGATAGATAGATAGATAGATAGATAGATAGATAGATAGATAGATGGAGTTACACTTAAAACATGAACCAGTTCTGACTTGCATTTAAATTCAACTTAAGAACAAACCTACAGAATCTATCTCTTGTTCATAACTTGAGGACTACCTGTATATAAGAAAAGGTAACGGTTTCCCCCTGACATTAAGTCCAGTCGTGTCCAACTCTAGGGGTTGGTGAAGAGTCAGCATTATCCATAGACACCTCAAAGGTCATGTGGCTCGCATGACTACATGGAGCGCTGTTATATTCCTGCCAAAGTGGTACCTATTGATCTACCCACATTTGCATGTCTGCATGTTTTGGCAGAAGCTGGGGCTAACAGTGGGAGCTCACCCCACTCCCTGGATTTGAACCTGTGACTTTTCAGTCAGCAATTTCAGCAGCTCAGCGCTTTAACCTGCTGCACCACTGGCAATATATATATATATATACACACTTAAAAGGTAAAGGTTTCCCCTTGACATTAAGTCTGGACATGTCTGACTCTGGGAGTTGGTGCTCATCTCCATTCCTGAGTCAAAGAGTTGGTGTTGGTCATAGAAACCTCCAAGGTCATGTGGCCAGCATGAACATGGCGCGCCATTGCCTTCATGCTGAAGTGGTACCTCTTTTTTTTTATTGTGTCAGGAGCAACCTGAGAAATTGCAAGTCGCTTCTGGTGTGAGAGCATTGGCCGTCTGCAAGGACGTTGCCCAGGGGACGCCTGGGTGATTTGATGTTTTTATCGTCCTTGTGAGAGGTTTCTCTCATGTCCCCCTTTGCTGGAGCTGATAGAGGGAGCTCATCCACCTCTCCCCGGATTCGAACCTGCGACCTGTTGGTCTTCAGTCCTGCCAGCACAGGGGTTTAACCCACTGCGCCACTGGGAGTTTTCGAACTGATCGGTTGGCAGAAGCTGGGGCTAACAACGAGAGCGCACCTTACTCTCCAAATTTGAACCACCAACCTTTTGGTCAACAAGTTCAGCAGCTCAGCGCTTTAGCCCACTGCATCACTGACAGTATATTTATAATATATATATATAATACACTACCTGTACATTATAGTATTAGTATTATATAATATGTTGTACCATATCATAAGTTGGAATATATACGATATATTATATTAAAGGTAAAGGTTGTCCCCTGACATTAAGTCCAGTCATGTCTGACTCTGGGGTGTGGTGCGCATCTCCATTTCTAAGCCGAAGAGCCAGCGTTGCCCGTAGACACCTCCAAGGTCATGTGGCCAGCATGACTGCATGGAGCGCCGTTACCTTCCCGCCAGAGTGGTACCTATTGATGAGTAGTCACATTTGCATGTTTTCGAACTGCTAGGTTGGCAGAAGCTAGGGCTGACAGCGGAAGCTCACGCCGCTCCCTGGAATCGAACCTGCGACCTTTTGGTCAACAAGCTCAGCAACTCAGTGTTTTAACCCACTGCGCCACCAGGGACCCCTAATATTACTACATTCTTAATATTTCATACAATATACCAGCACTACTATATTGAGGAAAAATAAAGGTTTCCCTCTGACATTAAGATGAGCACCACCCCGACTCTGCAGGGTGTTGCTCATCTCCATTTCTAAGCCAGAGTCAGCTTTGTCCGTAGACCCCTCCAAGGTCATGTGGCTGGCATGACTGCATGGAGTGCTGTAACCTTCCTGCCAAAGTGGTACCTACCTATTGATCTACACACATTTGTATGTTTTCCAACTGCTAGGTTGAAAGAAGCTGGGGCTAACAGCAGGAGCTCACCCCGCACCCTGGATTCAAACTGCTGACCTCTTGGTCAACAAGTTCAGCCACTCAGCAGTTTAACCCGCTGTGCCACGGGGGCTCATACACACTGGAAAACATGGCCATCCAGCCCAGAAAACTCATAGCAACCCAGTTCCTAGGAATTGTTTATCCAAAAAGGCAACTTTGCCAAGTTTTTTTTCCCAAAAGGCAAACAACACTCGTTTTTCAAGAACAGCCCTGACAAATTATTTATTTCTATTCAAAGATTATCCCTGCTCTCCGCCTTCATTCTCATCTAAAGTCTTTCTGGAAAATAATTCACCATCCGAGGCACGCGCATATGTTTTCTTTTGTTGAGTTTCCATCCGTGATGCACAACGAAAAGAGTTACGTAGAAAAGGGGAAAGCGAAAGTTTATAGGCGGAGAGCCCCAAGCTTGAGCCAAAAATGTATACAGAGAAAGGCTTGTATATATAGAATCGGGAGGGATGGATTTCCCCCTCTTCCTTTACCTCTTTCTGGGCCGCCTTCCTTTTGTCCTGAAAGAGTCTTCAGCCAGGAAACTGAGTAAACATTGCTCCGGGTGGGTTCTGACAGCCTCGCGCATTCCAACGACGTTTATTAATAACAGTGACCAAACCCAGCCTCCGACTGGTCCCGCCGCCAAAAAAGTGGCTCTGATTTTGCACAGGCCTCACCAAAAAAATAAAAATGTGTCAAAGGTTCTCCTCTCTCGCTTCTTCTCCCACTTTCAACCTTTTTTCTTTTTCCCCTTCCATCCTCGATTCTCAGTCCCACATTCCTCAGATCTGCCCAGTCTGATGAGCAGCCTTCCCAAACTCATCGGCTCTGGAATCCGTCATTTCCTTCCCTCCTTCCCTGTCCCTCCGAGCAATCCGCAAATTGTTCCATTTGATCAGACTTCCTCCATCCTGCCCGTTCCTTCACATGATGGATTACGCGCTTATAAGAAACATGAGAAGGGCTCGCTCTTTTTTT